CTCCTCTTCCTCCTCCTCCTCTTCCTCCTCCTCCTCTTCCTCCTCCTCCTCCTCTTCTTCCTCCTTCTCCTCCTCTTCCTCCTCTTCCTCTTCCTCCTTCTCCTCTTCCTCCTCCTCCTCTTCCTCCTCTTCCTCCTCTTCCTCCTCCTCCTCTCCTCCCCTCCCCTCTTCTCCCTTCCCCTCCCCTCTCCTCTCCCCTTCCCTTCTTTTTCTGCAGTCCATGGAGAAAATTGCCTTTGATATCTATGTGAGGGAGCAGCTCTGCCTCTTTGAGGGGGTGGGGTGGGAACCTAATAATTGTGCACATTGAGAAGCTCTCTCACTTCCGCAGAACAGCTCCCGTGCAGGCACAGCTGGGGCTTGACATGGGCGGGAGCTGCAGTAGGTATTTCTAAGGTAACAGAAGCTGTCTTCCCCAGTGCACCCTAACTGATGTGTTTCCCCTCAGCTCCTCACAGGACTGCCTAGTGTGTCAGATTCTCATCGGCCTCATAATGAGGTAACCCCAGACATGGGTGGGGCTTCCTGGATGATCAGTGAAGGAAGGAAGAGCTATTGGGCAAAGGTATAGCAGAACCTTGGAGGACTTCTCTGCAGGCGAGACCCTTCTTAATCACTCACATGTCCTTACTGATGAGGTCTGTGTCTCCCAGCTACTCTGTCAGACACTAAGCACTGCTGGGAAAGTCCTCTAAGGTCCTAGGCTTCTTAGTGGACAAGGAGTGAGACAGCTCCATGCTTTCAGCTTCTCGCCTGAGGAATGCCAGTAGACACTGACTCAGGCCGATAGGGGCTCAGAACTTTGATCCTAAAAAGAGTAAGTACTAGCCAGTTTAGTCAGCAGGGTTAGTGGTTTCATTAAAGACATTTTAAATAGGGCTAAGAAAAAGAAGCATTTGTTCAGAAGAAAGGCACACCCAAGTAGGAGGGGCACGCTCCCCAGAAAGTAGGGAAATGTAAGAGGGACTCACTGTGGTTGGCTTCTGAGAGCCGTTGTCTTCATAGCATATATAGCTTTTTGGAGACTCACGAGTTGCATTTCACAAAGTTACTAAGAAACCTTGCTACTCTGGGTAGGAGCCATCCAAAAGGTGTCTCCAGAGATGTCCTGGATGGAGTTATAGTCTGATAAGTTGAAACCAGGAGCCACTAGGTGCACACTGTGTGTGTCTGTGTGTATGTGTGTGTGTGTGTGTGTGTGTGTATTGGTGGGGTGGGGGAGGTGGAGGGGTTAGGATTCCTCTAGATGGGATGGCTGCTGAAATTCCTGGGGACTAGGCTCCTGGCTGGGAAGGGGGAATTAACAAGTGGTTGTTAATTATGGTGAAATTCTAGCTACTCCCTGCAAAAATCTTCTATGATTCCAGAACCAAGAGCTTCTCATGTTCCCAAGATTCCCCCTGCCTGGCTGTGCTCCAGGCCCAGGCTTCCTTGCCCTCTCAGCACCTTCAGGACTTCAGCTGTAGCTTTGTGTCCTTCACCACCTTGGACTCCGCCTCTTCTTTGTCTTCCACATGTTCTTGTTGTGTGGAAAATTCTTTGGGATTCCAATACATTGGGCCCCTGTCTTCATTCCTTGTCCTACAGTCCTACACATAGCAGATGGGCTGGGTTTTGTTTGTTTGTTTGTTCGTTTGTTTTTTTGGGGGGGTGTTGTATCATTCGGTTGTTTTTGTTTTGTTCTCTATGCACTGAGCTTGTGGTGCTCTCCTGCAGTGGCAGCCGGTCCCTCTGAGGGCGGCCACACCCAGGGAAAGACCCTGGTGCACAGTAGCCAAAACAGCACGGATACCTGACAGTTACCTCACTGGCAGGATAGCCCGGCCACTTGGTGTCTAGCTGCCTCACTATAGCTCCAGGGGCAAGGCACAGCTGGGCTGGACCCCCTTACAGGGTAGTCTGCAGCTCAGGGGTGCCCCACCCTTCTGGAGCCTCGCCTCAAAAGAAAACTTCTGTGAGAGCAAAGCTTCCAGAAGTTCACCAGGAGCACCGCCTCACAGGAATCATCGGGGTTTTTGTATGTTCATCATTTTACTTTTGGCGTGGTCACATGTGCAGGTTCTTGTGCGTGTGCATAAGTGTTGAGGTCTGAGGTCCGTGGCTGGTGACCTCTCTTGCTCCCCATTTTTTTTTTTTTTTTTAGCACAGTGCACAGTCTCTCACTGGCTCCAGAGCTGCCTGCCTGGCCAGCCTAGCCCCAGCCACTGCCCGTCACAGTCTGGCTGCACTCACTCACTGTGTGCATGTTCTGGAGAGCTCAACTTCTGCCCTCATGCTTGCAGAAGGCTTCACCTGTGGTACGTCACCTCTGCCTTCCCGTGTTTTGACACAAGGTCCTTTAAAGTTTAAGTCTGGCCTCAGCTTTCTACTTGGCAAGGCATGACCTGGAACTTCTGATCCTTCTGCCTCCTGGGATTCCAGATGTGTGCAGCTGGAGCCCACTCCCTTGTTCACAGTCGTCTGTATTCATCTGCTTTTGTACCCAACAGCCTTTTGGGATTTCCTAGAATCCTGGAGCCTTTCCGAGGCGAAGAAAGAGCAATGTGGACATCACTGATGAGTGCCTCTTGTGTCATGTCTGTGAACATACAGGTCTGCTTGTAGAAAGCCGCGGCTTGTGCTGACAGCATTCGCCATTACAAGATGGCGCTGGCATCCGGTGCTCCTCCAAGTAAACAAGTAAACCGCGCATGTGTTGTGGTAAAAAAGCGCCAAGTCACAGCCCATCCCGGGGTAACGAGTAAGCAGCCAATCAGAAGTGAACACGCCGCTCCAAGGGTATATAAACAGTGCCTTTTCTGGGCCCGGGGTCTTTCCTCCTTTTCATTGGAATAAACGTTTGCTGCGGAAGGATCCTGGTGCCCGCGTGCAATCTTGCTGGCGAGACAATTACACGCGGGTCACATCTGCTAATGCGTAAAAGCCACATACAGGGTGAGTGTGACGGCAACTCCATTTTACATGGACAGTAACTCTGGTTAAAGCCAGAGAGATTTCCTTCACTACCCGTGTCCCAGTACGTCAGTTCCACATACATTTCTATCCAGAACACTTCAACACACTTGGTCCCTACTAAAACTGGCCCCTTCCAGAAAGGCTACTCTGTCTTCTTCTGTCTTTGCTTCTAACTGGCATGTGTGGGTCAAGTGGAGTGAGCATATGCCAGGATTTGCTCTTGAAATACCAGGACCAGTTGTTCATGGCATTCCTGGTAGTTCCTTCATCTTTATGACTGTTTCAACGCTAGAGTGTGAAGTTTCAATAACAGTAGTTTGTTAGATTTGCTAAGCTGCTGGCCCAGCACCTCCACCTCAGGCCTTCTGTAACTCATGGCCATCTGGTATCTATCTCCTGCTACGCCTGACTTCCACATGCCGGGAGCACATGGATTGGACTGTAGTATTTTTTTTTCTTTGACAAAAAAAATATTTTACATACACACACATAAACATTTCATAAATACAATATAGGATTATATGTACATTTATAACACTAATGTTTTATTTATCTTTATCATGTATGTATGATGCCTGTGAACCTGTACCATAGCACACATGTGGAGGTCAGAGGACAGTTTCAGGAGTCAGTTCTCTTTCCACTTTTGTGTAGGCACTGAGGATTGACCTTGGACCGTCAGATTTTCATGGCAAGTATCCTCTCAACCTTCTTGCAGACCTTATACACACAATTGGTAAATAGAGTTATTAAAAAATTCTATCACCAAGCAGGGTTTTGGGTGGTACTGGGAGCTGAACCCAGAATTTTGTGCACATTTATCTAAGTGCTCAGTCAAGCAAGTTTTCTGCTGTCCTTTGACACTCAGTGAATGTCCCCTTCCATGGAACTGGGTTCTTCTGTTTGGAAATGAGCACTTAATTCTGTCAGGATGTAGATACTGTATTCCAGTGAGTATGAATAGAGATATCTTTTAATAGAGTTGGCAGTTTCTGTGAAAAAGGGAAGTTTATGTTTGGTAATGTTTATTCTTTTCTTGCTGGTATGTATATAATCTACTGTGTATGTGTTAAATGTTCCCATATATATGTGTATGTGTATGTGTATATGTATATAGTCTTTCTCTGGCTCTGTTTTAATTCTTGCCATTTCTAGGCTTTCCATTAA